ACCTGTTAACCCTTTGCCTGCTCCCTGAGCCACCAGGGTCCTGGGGACCAGCGGGGGGATGGGCAGGTGGCCCCTTAGCTGTGATTCGCCTGTTTCTACTTTAGTGCCGGCGCCTTCATGGTGTCGTGTGGTCAGCACGGCGAGCCCCTCACCGCGACCCCAGAGAGCGCCTTGGGCGCACGGTCGTTCTGAGAATCCAGACAGAAGGGCCCAGGAGAACCCAGACGGATCCCTAAGGGTCTGACGGCAAAGGGCGAGCTGTGGGGAGCAAAGGCAAAGCCCGCCGGTCCAGACGCCTGGTCCCCGGCCCCCGGCCCCCGGTCCCGGCACAGAGAAGCCCACCAGCGAGGGAGGGGGACACGCTCCCAAAAGCTGCCGAGGGAAGGGTCCAGGTGGACACAGCAGGACCGGACTCCTGCAGCCTGCCGCCCCCCAGCTGCCTGACGGGAACCCGGGGCGCCCCCCGCAGCCAGACGCGTCTGTCTCAGGCCCCATCTGTCGCCACCGCTGGGTCCCCCGCAGCTGCAGAGCGGCTTCTTCACGTGCTCCCCGGGGACGCTCAGCTCTCCCCTCCGGCCGCGGCCGCTTCTTAAACGCGTCCGCGTCCGCTGCTGCCTGCCCGGGCCCCTGGGGCCAGCATGGGAATAGAAGGGGCGCTCCGTCCAGGTGACATGGACTAAGTTGGCACAGCGTGCCCCCTCCCACCTTCCCCGGCCTTCCCACTGTCCCCAAGGCTGCCACCGTGGCCGCCCTTAAAACATCTGCCTCCAGATCATAGAACACCAGGCTTCCGGTGAATCCCGGCGGACGTGTCTGTTTCGCCCATCGAGGTCCCGTCCGCAGGCACCGCCCACAGCGTGTGGCCCCAGGAAGGACGGGACACAGAGGGACGCCGAGGTCGCTGTCCCTCAGAACCCGATGAACACCAGGGAGCGGAAGCGACACGGACACTTACTGTCCTCACTTCACACCTGCTGCTGCCTGAGGCTGGTGTCGCGAGCCCAAGTCACGAAGAGGAAGAATAACTCTGGCTAAATTAAAACCGTCAACTTCTGACACTTGAAACCTGTTTGATTCTGTTAACCAAAGTCACCCCAGTAATTTTAATTAAAAAAAAGTTTTTAAAAATTTGAACTTCCATACATCACAAACCCATCATAAAAATTTTAAATGAACCGGGAAGGAAGTGCTTACAATCTCATTCAGAAGGGATCGCTACTCCTTCTAGACAGAAGGTCACAGGAAAAAGGGCAATTAGCCAGTAGAGAACAAGGCAAAACATAGGAACTTACCAAGAAGAGGTTAAAAGAGTTGAAAGTTCAACAATACATAAACAGGAGGGCACTATTTTTAATTGACTTGTAAAAATACAGCGATGAAGCCCTGAGCCGGGGAAGCAGTGAGCAGCTCTGCGAGCGCCCAGAGCAGGCGTGAAACCCTTCAGAGGAGATTCTGACAGCAGGAGACGTAAAAACAGGACTCGGCCTCCGAGGGCAGCAGCCCCGCGGAGTCCCGGCGCATCGGCCGAGCCACCGAGACCCACGTCAGCTCTGGCCACGGCAGTGACATGCGCGCGCGTCCTGGGAGGCTGCCCGAGGGAGCCGTGGTCGATCCGGGCGCCGCCCGCCGGCCGGTCAGCGAATTGCGTGGCGTAGACACGTGTTTAGTAAGGGGAAGGGAAAGGTCACACGGTGGGCAGGTCACGGGCGCCGGGTGGGCGTTCAGGTGTGTGCGTCTCAGGACCGAAACGTCGACGCAGCACCCCCATCCCCCCACCCCTGCTCACGGTTCCTCCCGCTTTTCCTCGTTTTTCCAAGTTTTCCGCAAACGCTGTCTGTTACTTCGCAGCCTGAGAAAACAATCCGGTGCCTTTTAGAGGCGGAGGGGAGGGCGTATCCGAACCCCCTGCTCTGCACTCTGGTTAGCGTCCCCGCCCCAGGCCCCCCCGTGAGGCCGCCTCAGCCCCTGGGGCCTCCATCCACTGAAGCCAGTGTGAGAAGGTGGCCTCACAGAAGACCTCCGTCCCCAAGACCCGCCCGTCACCGCACAGGCCCTTAGACCTTCGGGCGGTTTGTCCGTTCCTGCCGCGTGTCTGGCCTGGTCCGGCCGGGCTCCCCGCGGGGCTCGGGCTGGGCTGGCGTTGGGCAGGGCGGGCCGTGGGGTCGCCTTCCGCCTTACGTCCCGGGCGGATCCGCGCGCGCTTGGTTAGGGGCGTTAACTCATCCTGTTCCCCTCGCGGTCACCCCGCCCTCTGGTCTGGGCGCCCTCGTTTGTCTTTCTTACTCTTCTCTATGTACCTGGGGGTCCAGGTTCTTCCTCGTGAGCCACCTCGGCTTTGTGGAACAAGCTTTCTTCAAAGCACAGTCAACTCGCTAGCTGTCCCATGATCCAAGCTGGCAGGGGTGGCAAGAAGCCTTTGGAGGAGTTCGTGCTCACCGGCCTCTGGCGACGAGCTAGAGTCACTCCGTCCTGGCTCCTGGCCTTCCAGGAAGAAGGGGCGAGTGTTCGGGCCTGAAGGAGAGGTTGGAGATGCCGGGGGGTCCCCCCCTCGCCCCCGCCGCGGGCCAGGTTCTCCAGAAGCTGGGCCTGGCTGTGTGCAGCCTCCTCTAACCTCTGGGTTAACCTGCACCCCCCTGGGGGCGGACACCGACCTCTGTCCCCCGGCAGAGCCCCGGGCCCGAGTCTCGCATTTCTTTTCCTAGATTCTTAGGCGTGTAATCTGCACTAGGCCTGTCTGCTTCCACACCCTGGGCTGCAGTTGATACATGCTTCTGGCAAATTCTGGGACCACACTTGCCAGATGACCAAATCCTCCTCAGAAAGATGACTGAAATGTTTGTAAGTTTCCATCGCCGAAGAGCAGCGGCTGAGGTCCCAGGGGGCAGAGCCTGGGCCACACCTTCCCGGGTCCCAGCGGGCAGAGCCCGGGCCACACCTTCCCGGGTCCCAGGGGGCAGAGCCCGGGCCGCACCTTCCCGGGTCCCAGGGGGCAGAGCCCGGGCCACACCTTCCCGGGTCCCAGGGGGCAGAGCCCGGGCCGCACCTTCCCCAGGTCCAGCTTCTCCGGCCAGCGCACCGAGCAGCACCGTGCGTCCCTTCTCAGTGCAAACCCACAGCCGCCTTCTGCTGCAGAGACGCGGAGAGACCAGGAGGCTAACGGCCGAGTGAGGCCCCGCACGGGCCTCCTGCATGAATCAGATGGGGGAGAGGGGTGACTCAGGGCCGTGGCGTTTTGTCTTCTGGCTGCGAACACACAGAGGGAGGCTCGAACGGGGTGCCAGGGCTCCTGAGCCAGCGTGAGGCAGCTCCAAGCTCCTGAGGTCAGCCTGGGCGTGGGCGGTCAGGACCCAGGCCGGACCAAGACCGGGTGGGACCAGGGCCAAGAGGCTGGTGCCCACCGGGCACCGCAGGGCTGAGAAGGCGGGGGGCCGGGGGGGGTCACAGGTCCGGGCTGCTTTGCAGAGATGCTGGGTCCACCTGCCCCGGGTCCACCGCCCTGGCCTTGCAGCCCTCAGGAGCGTCTGTCAGGTGCACCCCGTGAGCAGTCGCCGCAGTGTGGGCTCCTGTGCGCTCATGAAGGGGTCCTGGGGTTTCCTCTCCTCAGATGCCCTGCAAGGGCCAGAGTGCGGGGTCCACAGCCAGCGGCGGGCTCTGGCCGGCCCCCCGGGGAGCGGTGAGAGCAGCAGGCAGCACGCTTGGTGGGCTGCCCCCCGGCCCGGGCCTGGCGGCAAAGGGCTGTGAGGAGCAGCCCCTCTCCCCTACACACCGGAGTAAAGGGTGGAGAGGCAGTGGGATGCCCACCGACGCCCCCGGCCCAGGAAGGTGCATGCAGCAGAGATGCCGAGTGAGCGCTGACCGCCGAGCTGGACCGCACCTAGGTTCCTGCCTGACCCAGCACTTAACGGATGGAGTTATTTTAATCTGAAAAGGGCCCAACGAGGCTCTTACTGCCACTTCCGGAGGGGCCGAGGTGGCCCGGCTGGGGGCGTCCATCTAGCAACGGGCAGAGCCAGGACCTGGACCGGTCTGGGCCTTCAGCAGAGTGAGATGGCCCCATGTCAGACGTGGCTCTGCCTCTGCTCCTGGGATGTGCTGCAGCGTGGAGGTCTCCGTTTCACACGGGTCGGCGACGCCCAGGTGCACAAGGCATTTCTCTGGAGACGGTGAGAGTCAGGCCTGGGTCCTGGCTGGGTACCTGGGCGTGTCCTGCACCCCTGCCCACTGCTTGCAGGCGGCCCGGCCGGGTCACGGCCAGGGGCAGGGGACCCTGCCTCCCCTCCATCCCACGCACCTGAGCTCGTCCGCGTTGCTGCATGCAGCGAGGCAGGTGGGAGGAAGTCAGCCTGGAAACGAAGCCGGGGTCCAGAAACGGACCCTCGTTACCCTCCCGGGCATGCCCTGGCTCTGGCGGCCCCCCTACTCGTCCGCAGGTTAAGCCCTTGGGTTCAGAGGGCCTGAGGATGGGGCGCGCCGCAGGAATCAGTGTCTGCGGGTTCGGAGCCTTGTTCCTGCTGTGGTGTTCGCAAGCGTTTCTCCCTCCCAGAGAGCCCTCCCTGCCCTAGATGTGAGCTGAAAACAAGTCGGCAGAGGTAACGTCCCCTCAGCGGGGAGCACCCCACTGCCGCACGGCGCCAGGTGCCAGTGTGGGGGCGCACGCGATGCCGGTATGGAGCCTGTCCAGTCGCCCCCCGCAGTGCCCGGGGGCAGACAGACGGGCCTTTTCTCTGGGAGTACGCTCCCTGTCCTAAAAGTCCCCTGTGCTCCCAACTCGTCCCTGCCCCACCCCCGCCCCAACAACCAGCGATTTCTCCACCGTCTTTATGGTTTTGCTTCGCCCGGGAGCCGGGCAGTTGGACGCACACAGCGTGGCCTTTCTGGATGGGCTGCTTTCGCTCCGCGCTTGGGGCTCCTCCCTGTCTTTTCGCGGCGCGGTGGCTCACTCGTCTCCGTGCTGAGGGACACCCCACTGTCTGGATGCACCAGTGCGTCATCCACCCGCCGGGAAGCATCTCGGGCGCTTCCGCGTTTGCGCGATGATGCGGGAAACGGCCACAAACGCCCGTGCGCTGGTTTTGGTGTGGACACCAGTTTTCACGCCCGTGGCAAATGCCAGCGCGCGGGATGGCTGGGTCGCGTGGCGAGAGTGCGTTTAGTTTTGTCAGAGCCACCAGACTGTCCTCCCGGGTGGCTGTGCCGTCCGCCTCCCCGCCAGCCTGGGTGACCTTCCTGCCGCCCATGCTGTGGGCAGCCCGAGGCGCAGCCAGCGTCCGGACGCGGCCGTGCTGGCAGGCGCGGTGGCATGTCCTCGCCATTCGGGCCGTTTTGCACAGAGGCCGCTGGGGCCACCTCCTCAGCCCCGGCTCTCCCCTCACTGCTTACACGTGACGGACGCACCCCACAAAGCGTCTGCTCCCGGGGCCGGGTCGGCTGTCGGTTCCTTTACCCGCCCCCGCCTGGCACTGCCCAGGTTCCCCGTGGCCGTGGGCCCTGCCTGCCGCAGCTCTGAGGCCTGGGCCTCCTCTGCAGGGCTGGGAACATGCCGGTCCCTCTCCCACAGTGCCCAGCTCCTGCAGGACGGGCTGGCACAGAACAGGTGCGCCATCGAAACGGGGCGGGGGTGAGCAAATCCCATCACTGATGCCCGCAGCACCCACCCCGGTGCCCTGGGCCTCCATGCTGTGCTGCTCTGGGCCAGCTGCTGCGCCCCACGTCCACCCACTCCCCAACTGCGCAGAGGCCTGTGGAGTTTTGGTGACCCCCGTGCTCCCCCGGGCCAGTGCACCCCTGTTGCGTGGCTGTGTCCAGGCACCTGTGACTGTCCTCATCCCCAGAGCCCATGGGGACCACGTCTCAGCTATGCGCACATCCACCTGGCCTGGCCCACAGCCAGGCACGAGGTTGTCCCCGGGCCTGCTCACAGGACGCAAGGCGCAGGACGGCCCTCTGCCTCCCCGCAGACGCAGAGCGCCGGGAGCGTCTGGGATGCAAAGCACATCTGCTCCCGTGACAGGAAAATGCGCCTGTGATTTATGAGGCCCCAGCTGCCTTCTGAGGGGACATTCCTGGGGGTTCTGGGTTTGCTGAGAACAGTCAGCCTCATTCTAGAAGCCAGTGGCAGTGTGCAGGGAGGGGGCTATGAGATTGGAGGGGACGCAACCCCTGAACCGGTCTGTGCGAAGAAAGGGGCAGGGACAGACGGACAGACAGACAGACAGACAGAGACAGGAGAGCTGCCACGGCACACCCCAGCAGGGCAGACCTTAGGGGGACGAGCTACATGCGGATCGGGGGGTCGTGACTCGGGAGTGGAACGCTGTGCCCTGGTGAGCACTTGGGGCCATGGTCAGACCGACCTTCGGACTCTTGGTCACTGTCCTTTGACTGGACCACAGAGTCCCAGCTGGCCCTCGCAAGACAGCTGTCACCTCGCACCCGCTAAGGTGGCCGCCGCCTCAAAGCGTGACGAGTGTCGGGGTGGGGGAGCCCTGGAGCCTGCGCACCGCGGGGGGACACCCAGGAGACACGATGTGGCAGCTCCACGAACCCCACAGCCGGGCGAGTGCGGGGCGCAGCCCCACGTCGGGACGCGCCAAAGGCAACCGAAAGCACCGTCTGTCCACAGATGATCGTGCGCCGTGGTCACCGCGGCACGGCTGACCTGGCCGGTGGGGGGACCGCCTGACCGCTCCTCAAGGGCCGAGCGGACAGTGTGGCCCGTCGTGCAGTGCAGTGGGACGCGGCCTCCAACAGGAAGGCCCTTCCGCCACGGCACGGGCGGACTGGGGGACGCTGCGCCCGGGGCAGCAAGCCCGCCACGAGAAGACAAGCACCGTGTGAGTCCACTCACGCGAGGGACCCGGAGGCCGGGGCCGGGGCCGTCGGACAGAAACACGTTTTCTGTTTCGGGGGTGGAGAGAGTTCGGAGGTCGGAGCCCGCCGTGTGGGCACCAGGCCCCTGAACCACACACCTGAAGACGACAGAGGTGGTAAACTCTATGCTGCGTTTGTACGACGATTTTAAAAACCATTCAGATGGTTTTCTGGAACTTTCCAGACTGGAGATCTATATCAACTGGGAGAGGAACAGGTCTTGGGCAGGGATCCCCGGCACGGGTCCTGTCTGCCCCCGGGCCCTCCACAAGCTGGGGGCCTCGCAGCCCTGTGAGGGGCCCTCGCGGGGGTCCTGGGCCACTGTGACAGTCAGGGCCAGCTTGGGCCCTCAGACTCAGAGGCTGCCCAGGCAAGGGCCACCGGGACTGCTCCTTTGAACCTTAGCCCAGGGGCTGGGGTGCTGGCTGCCATGGTGGGCTTCGGGCTGGACTGCGGCCTGAGCTGGCGGCCAGGACTCCGGCCAGGCCACCTTGGGGGCCTGACGGATCAGAGGGGTGGCCTCAGGTGCTGGCCCCTGGTGCGTTCGGGCTCCCAGCACCTTCTCAGTGGAAGCGATGCTCACGCATCTCAGAGAAAAGGTTGGGTCCGAGCCTCGCAGGCACTGGAGCCATGAGCGTGTTTGAGCGTGTCTGCGTGCAGATTGGTCACTTTGGCCGCCCCGTGGAGGCAAGGGCGGTCCTCCTTTCCCGAGAACTGGGCTAAAGGTCTGTCGATTTGCTCCAGATGTGTGTCTTCGAGGCCATTCAGCCGAAGGGCTTCAGTTGTCTTCGGAGCTGAGTTACGGAATGACGCGCGGCTGGGGGCCCGGGGAGGCCGGCCCGGGACAGGCCCGCTGGGCCTTCGGCACCGGCCCGCTGGCTGGGCTGATGAAGGAGGCTGGTGTCGCCATGGCGTTTCAGGCTGATGCGTCCCGAGCGGGGACCAGACGGAGCGAGGGCTCCTGCCAAGACGGAGGGCAGCGGGATGGCAGGAGAGGTGGCCGAGGGTCCCCGGGTGGAGGGGACGGCACGTGCGGGGTGGGCGGGCTGCTGGGGGAGGGGAGGAGGGGACGGGACGGCCACACGTGCACCATCCCAAACCCGCCTTGCTGTCCAGCCGCGTCGCCCAGCCAGGGGAGGACAGAGGGGAACGCGACCCAAAGCCTCATCCGTCTCTGAAAGATCTGATAAGTGAGCCTGTAAGGAACGTTCTGGAACATCTCAGCGTCAAAAACAAAATAATGAAATGCGTTTGTTCGGATCTCTCTCTGGAGAAC